GAGAATCTCAGCTTCCTGCACCCAGAAGCTACTAATAATTATGAAAGCGAAGATGCTTGAACTGTAAGCCAGAAGCATTCAGGAAATGGTACAATCACCATAGAGTGTGGCCATGCTGGAGCTCCCCTGGGTAATTCCTAGATGATACAGGAGTTCCATCTCCAACCTCTATGCCCCTTCCTCTCCATGCAATCCCTCTAGCTGGGTGCTCCCACAATGCCCTGCTCTCCAACATGGCATTCTGATACGGTTTCTGAAACAGCTGCCATTTTCATGCAACTTCTTATAGCCTGGAAGCTCTCCAGAAGGAGGGGCAGAGTCTACCTTGTGGCCCTGGCACCGTGTGGGCATTACATAGTTATGTGTGGCTGAACAGGATTTGTGCCACACCACCACTCTGCAGAGATGAGATGAGATACAGGCAGGTACATGGGAACACAAAGCAGAGCATCCCACCAATGTCTATTGGGAAATTATCTTTAGTCTTTTGAATGATGTTCCATGATTGATGATTTACTATGTATTGAAAACCCTCTTTTTGATGGATATTTCTAGATTTCAAGATTCCCCTGTTTCTGTTGTACTGTGAGGCACAGCATTAATAGGCTAAGAGCTAGAAAACATGAAGCGTTCTATCACATTCTATCTGGTACTAATCCCTCAGGCAGGCCACTGGAATTCTTTAGCCTAGAGAAAGAGAGATGAAGTCTACCTCCATTTAGAGTTGTGTAAATAAGGGTAATAAAACCATGTTAGTGTCAGGAATGGTATAAATCCCAAGTTCCAGGGCCCTTTAGTAGCTATGTCTAAAAAAATTTTAAAAATTCCTGTCAATCTATAATATACTATTGATTCACAGAAAATACAAGGAAAAAGGTCTATATTCTATGAACCATTATCCTCAATATCTATCTTTCTGTCTGTCTGTCTGTCTCTCTCTCTCTCTCTCTCTCTGTCTATTTATTTCTGAATTTTGTTATGTTGCCCAGGCTGTCCTTGAACTCCTGGGCTCAGGCGAATCTCTCAGCTTTGGCTCCCTGAGTAGATGGGCTGACAGGCATGCCACACCGTTCCTGGCTCTAATCTCTTTAATCTATTTCGTCTTGGCATCCAACTAGAAGAAGTCAAGCCCTGGGTAAATAACTTTACTCCTATTATTAGACTGCAGGGGCCTCCTGCAGGTGACAAAATTATGCTAGGCTGTCAGGCACCTGAGTGTGGTCTTCTGTGAACAGGCTAGCTTTTTATAGCACCAGCTCAAGGGGCATCTGCATTTCATGTTGTTGTTCTTCCTGCTGGCCCAACTAAATAGCTCAGGATCAGTCTTGTTGTGGGCAGAGACTCCTATATCTTAGCTGTTCGGTGTCTCCTTTGCTACCACTCTATTTCTCTCACAAACAAAGAGATCACTATTGGAATGAGGGGCTAAAACTTAGCAATGAAAGGTTGCTTCCCGAGCAGATGGATTCTCTAGTTCTGGGACGTGCAGTATGGTAAATCTCATATGAAGACGAGTCAGAAACTAGGTGTAGTAGCAAATACCAGTAATCCCAGAACTCAGGATAAAGCAGAATATCAAGAATCAGAGGCTAGCCTGAGCTACACAGTGAGTCTCAGGCCATACTGAGACCTTGTCTTAAAGAGGATGAAGTATGGCTCAAGTGGAAGCTTGCTTGCCCAGCAAGTGTAAGGCTCCAAGTTCAAACCCTGGGACTATCATTCAAACCAAACCAAGCCAAGCCAAAAAACAACAACAAAAAGACAAAACCAACCAGTAACAACCAAAATTAGGACACATATTTGTGATCTAAGGAAGCTGAATGGCAGGAGGCAACTGTGCCACTTTGGTGTATGGGGAAGCAAACATGGACAGAGTCTGTAGCCAGAGTAGTTCCTGCTGTCAGAAGTGGTGGCTTTTTAACACAGGACTGAAACCAGGAGTAGAAAAGAATCTAGCATCATGTACCGTGCCTATGACAGTTGATTTCCAATGCTGAGAGAAAAGTAGAAAAACGTGCTTGCTTTGGGGATGGGAGCTCCTGGGGAATCAGAAAGTGAACTGTCATAGCTGCATAAAGGGATCTGAAAGATGGAAAGCCTGCATGCATCCTGCTATTAGGACCTCCCCAGGGTACAGCCTATCTGAGCCTCTGAGGTCCACTTTAGGGGAGAAACATCTGACCAAAACAGCATGAAATGAGAAAAAGAAAAGACCCTGCTTCAATTTTTTTTTTTTTTTTGGTCAGTTTGTGGGGCTTCAACTTGGGGCCTGGGCACTGTCCCTGAGCTCTTTTTGCTTGAGGCTAGTGCTCTACCACTTTGAGCCATAGCTCTACTTCTGGCTTTTTTCGTGGTGTGTTGAAGATAAGAGTCTCATAGAGTGGCGCTGTGGCTCAAGGTAGAGCGCTAGCCTTGAGCTGAAGAGCTAAGGGTCAGCACCCAGGCCCAGAGTTCAAGCCCCATGACCGACAAAAAAAAAAGAGCATACACCCGGTGCTGGTGGCTCACATCTATAATACTAGCTACTCAGGAGGCTGAGATCTGAGGATCACGGTTCAAAGCCAGCCTGGGCAGGTAAGTCCATGAGACTCTTATTTCCGATAAACCACCAGAAAACCAGAAGTGGTGCTGTGGCTCAAGTGGTAGAGCTCTCTTCTTGAGCTGCAGAGCTCAGGGACAGCGTCAAGGCGCAGAGTTCAAGCCCTGTGACAAAAAAAAGAAAAAAAAGAAAAAAAAAAAGTCTCATGGACTTTCTTGCCAGGGCCAGCTTTGGACCGTGATCCTCAGATCTCAGCCTCCTGAGTAGCTAGGATTACAGGCGTGAGCCACCAGTGCCTGGCGCTGCTTCAGTCCTGATGGGTGTTTGTAAAGCCTTGTATAATCGCAGTGAAAAGAGGAGGAGGTTGAAACTCACCTTAAGGTCAATACTGCTTCAAAAATTGGTGAATATTTTGAAATGTAGCTGGCAAGAAGTGGGCAATGTCCAAAGGCCTAGGTACCAGTTAGAGGCCAAGACTGCCATCTTAGCTAGATTTCTTTCTTTTCTTATCTTTCTTTCTTTTCCTTCTTTCTTTTCTTTCTTTCTCTCTTTTTTTTTCTTTTTTTCTTTTTTGGTGTGTACATGTGCCAGTACTAGGTAGGGCTTGAACTTATATTGCTTTTTTGTTGAAGGTTGGTGCTCTACCATTTGAGCCACAGCTCCACTTCTGGATTTTTTGGTGGTTAGTTGAAAATAAGAGTCTCATGGACTTTTCTGTGCAGGATGACTTCAAAAGGTGACCCTCAGATCTCAGCCTCTTGAGTCACTAGATTATAGGCATGAGCTACCCACACCTGGCTCAGATCTCTTTTTGAGATTACACCATGAGCAGGGAAGATGGCAGCCTCAGTTGCACATGCAGTAACTGCACCAGATGGAGATAAACACTGCTCTCCACACGCTCTGACTCATGTGCTGGGACACGTCCCCAGACACACGGGTTCTGTTTTAATCTGAGACAACTCATTTATTGAATCCCTACTATAAATTTGGACTTGTGTAAACATTATATTCTTTAATTCCAATATCTCTAGGAGCTAGATATCACTAATATTATTTTTTAAAGAAGAAATAGATTCAGGAAGGCTGAGTGAACTCTTCAGTATTATTCTGCTAGTAAATGACTGAGGCAGGAATACATGAAGCTGGATTCTTTAGATTCTCCCTTAAAAATAGATTAAGAAGAGCTATATTAGCTTGCTACTAAGGAGGCTGAGACCTAGAGGATGGAACTTCAAAGCTAGCAAGAGTAGAAAAGTCAAAAGGCTCCATCTCCAAAACAACCAGCAAAAAGCCAGGCTGGAGGCATGGCCCAAGTGATAGAGTACCAGCTGAGCAAACAAGTCAGAGTGAAAGTGAGAGGCCCTGAGTTCAAACTGTGGTATTGGCCAAAAAGAAAAGAAAAGAAAGTTTATTAGACTAAGTGGAGTGGCTTATGACTATACTCTGCAGCTCTGGAGGATGAGAATTAGAGACCAGACAAAAGGCTAGTGAGACCTTCATCTCAACAAACAATCTGGGAGGGGGTACACATCTATAGTTGCACCTATTCAGTAGGATTATGGTCTGAGGCTAGCCCTAGGCAAAACTGTTAAAACTCTAAGGGGTGGGGGGGAAGGGGGGGGAGAATGGAAAAATAACCTAAGGGCATGGCTTAAGTAGTAGATCACCTTCCTAGGAAGTACAAGGCCTTGGGTTCAAAAGCCTAGTACATACATACAAAAAAAGTGTATCAGGCAGGTTCAAAAAATTTCATTGATAATACATGACAAAAAACAGATATGGTGGACACAACTATATATACCTTAAGATTTACCATCCTACATCTGTGTACAGTCCAATAAAGTGTCAGATGGCTAGATGGAGAACTAGAGGAAGAACTGTGTCTTAAACTGTTTTGTAGTCAAAGACCGATATAGAATAAAGAACTTGAGTATTTACCAATAAAAGAGTTGGTATCATAAATAATTTATAAATTAAACATCCTCCTTTCTGTATACTGATACAGAAAAAATAATAAGGGGAAAAATGGTCTTCAGCTGGGCACTGGTGGCTCATGCCTATAATCCTAGCTATTCAGGAGGCTGAGATATGAGGATCCTGGTTTGAGGTCAGCCCAGAGAAGGAAAGTCCCAGATTAACCACTGAAAGGCTGGAAGTAGAGCTGTGGCTCAAGTGGTAGAGCACTAGCCTTGAGCAAAAAAGCTCAGGGACCGTGTCCAGGCCTGAGTTCAAGCCCTGTGACTGACCAAAAAATATGTTTTTAGAGGATACTACAGTCCCTAAACATCAGCAATGTGGGGCCAACCCTCCTCTCCAGGCTTTAGACTTCATACTTTTCCACCAGGCAAAAACATATTAGTTGGCTTACCAGAAATGTACCTTCTCTAGAAGCTGGAAAATTCTATTTTGAAACACTAGCCTTCTTTTCCCAACTGCCCACCCCTAAAATGGCCTTTACCTTCCACAGGAGAGGTTTTCAGTTTAGCGCAGAGATTGGCGACATTTCCATAGCGGACATTGATATGGTTCAGGGCATCCGTTGAACGTAGTTCCATGAGCTTCCTTAGTTCCATCAACGTACAACCAAATTCCCCATCACGGCTCTCAGTTACTGAGTTAGCCGGCACACTTTGTCCCGAGGAGCTCGTCATTTTGCCTGCAGTTACTAGTCCCTCAACCACAGAAGATGTGAGGTTTTCTTTTCAACTGGCCAGTGTCACCTGTGTTCTTGTCCCCACTTCTTTCTGTTTCTTCCTTTTTTCTGGGGGCCCAGTTACAAAACAGACGGACTATATCTTGTTCAGGAAGCTTCAGAATAGAAACCCCAAATCTAGATCCTTTCTTCTGAAGCCTGACAGGGGAGGGGGGAGGAAGAGGATGGGGGAACTGAGTAGAAGATGGACTTTGTGTCACGATGATTGGTGTCCCCCCCTGGAAGGGGGTGGTGATGGAAGTAGCTGTCCAGGGCAGGTAGGTTCCTAGCTTAGACTGATGTGGCCAGATGGAGGTGTAAACAGGATGAGCATGTTACCATGGAGGCAACCTTAGCAACAATCAGCAACGGTGGTGGTAGAGCGTCAGCAGAAGGAGGAAGAGGAGGGCTCCCTGGATACAGATGGCAACTGGATCTCTGGAATAAAAATTCAAAGACAGACAAAAAGAAATGATTAGAACAGCCATGAGGATCTAGGGTCTGCCAGGGCAAAAGGTAGTCAGTCATTGTAGCACAAGGGTTGAGGCCTATGCCAAGTGACCTGACCACAAGAGGCCCCAATGATGAAATAACTGAAACAGAGAGGTTATTTTAGATAATCCGTCTTCAGGCCTTACGTCTCTCATCCCAACCACATCAATCCCTCAATTTCAATGTTTCAGTGTTTCCATTTCTAATGTTCTGTCTGAGGGATCTGGCCTTACCTGTAAGAGGTGAGAAGAGATTAGGAAGGCAGTCCAGACCCAAGTGATCTAGAAGGTAGCCTGCCAGGGTGCCACCCTCTCCCCTGCTCCACATTCTTCCCCGCCCCAAACACAGACATTTACAAACCAGAAAGGTGTCCCAATAGAAGATCCCTCAATCCACCAAGGTCCCTTAGAACAGCCTGTCCTCAGCTGTATGGAAACTTGCTGTCTGAGACAGTTATCAGCCAATGAGGTTGGGGCTTGGGGGCTAAGCCTACCCTCCTCCCTTTCCCAGAGGCTTCTGGGGTGGGGTGGAGGGGGAAGAAAAAATGAAATGCTCTGGCAGTTTATGATACAAGGTGGAATCTTTTTTTTCCCCTTTCTAAAGGAGATAGATATAGTTCTGAGGAGTGAAGATAGTGGGTATGCAGCTTATGAGAGTTAAAGTTTCTACAGTGTGTGAAGGATAAGGGAGCTATCAGCTCAGCTAGAGCACAGAGCCCCTGCAAGGTCATCAGGAGAGAGAGAAGCTGGCCTGCACATAAGGGACGCTGGGGGGGTCACATCATGATGCGTGTATATACATCAGACAGGGGCAGGCATCTCTCCTGAGCAAGACAAGTGGCATTTTACATACATGCTCACTAAGGCATGGGGATGGAGCTATGGGTGAGGCGGGCAGAAGACGGAGCTGAGCTCTGTTCTCAGCTTCAGAGAGGTGCTGGCAGTGTGTCACATCAGAGGCACTGTCACACACCCACCATTCAGTATAAGGGGCTCTTCCTGAGGCCCTGGATACAAAGTCCTGATTGTCTGCTATAGGCTGATCCAGAAACAGACACAGCAGGTCAAGCTGTTCAGTTATGAGAGGGAGGCAAGGATCCCCTGGTTGGCTTATCTAATAAACACAACATTTTATCAGTGAATTTCCCCCCAAATCATAATGGCCAGAGTCTGGTTTCCAGTAGGTTCCTCTGGAACATAGATTTTTACACCCCTCTCTCTTTCAACATGCCTCTGCCACCTTGCCTACTGTTCGATATACAAAGATTTAAGCGAGCAGGGTTTTGTCTGTTTTAAATATATTTTAGATGCCATCAGGGAATCCTGGGGAACAAAATGAGAGAAGAACCTGAGCCATGGTTCAGCGTCTCTTCATTTAGCCTGGTATTGAAACAGGCAGGAGGGTAATCTGTTTTTATTCACTGCCCGTAGAAAGCGGATGAGGATGAGATGAGAGAGAGAGACAGAGAGAGAGAAAGAGAAAAAGAGAGACGCTGAGAGAGACAGAGAGAGAAAGACAGACAGAGACAGAGAGATCATATTCACATAATTTTATTCCATTTTATCTATCTGTCTGTCTGTCTGTCCGGTATTAAAGTTTGAAACCTCTTACTCTCTCAGGTTCACAGCTCCAGTTCCATGTTCAATTTTATTAGTTACTGTTGATCTTTCATTATGCCTCATTTATAAATTAATCTTAGATATGTTATGCTTAGGAAAAATATGGTATGTATAGGCTCATATTATCAATAGTTTCAAACATCCACTGAGTTATCTTGGAACACAATCCAGTGGATCAGGAAGAAGGACTGTACCCAAGACTTTCTCTCACTTTAGCTTCTTCTCCAAGCCTGAAAGGAGGGGGAGGGGACCATACCAGCGAGAAGCAAATCTTGATCCTTAATTAGAACTCAACCTTTCAAAAAAGATGCTAGTCCAGGAACTAGTGGCTCACACCTGTAATCCTGGCTACTCAGGAGGCTGAGATCTGAGGATCACAGTTCAAAGCCAGCCCAGGCAAAGAAATCTGAGAGATTATCTCTGATGAACCAGCAAAATGCTGAAAGTAAAGTTATGACTCAAGTAGCAGACCTCCAGCCTTGAGCAGAAAAGCCAAAGAAGATGTTGGGAAACTAAGACTTGGAAGGTGTGACTTGTTTTGTGTCACCGCTTGATGAACACAGTGTGATTTTTTCCCTACTTGCTCCCTAGTGCCTACAAGAAAACTTAACACACAGTGGCCACTCCGTTGACATTTTCTTTTTTTTTTCTTTTAATTTTATTTATTTATTTTTTTGGGGGGGTCCGGTCGTGGGGCCTGAACTCTGGGCCTGGGCACTGTCCCTCAGCTCTTCAGCTCAAGGCTAGCACTCTACCACTTGAGTCACAGCACCACTTCTAGCTTTTTTCTTTTTGCTTATGTGGTGCTGAGGAATCGAACCCAGGGCCTCATGCATGCAAGGCAAGTGCTCTACCACTGAGCCACCTTCCCAGCCCCTCCGTTGACATTTTCTAGGTCACTTCAGATGCAGAATCAGGTGTGCCCTTTCCCGCTGGCAAGTCCCTTCACCTTCTGCAGACTAGTTCCTTGCAAACTCTTTGCAACTGGGAAACGAATCACATTATCTGAAGAAAGTAATACGTGAAAATAGTATTTTAGATTTAAAAAATTCTTAGAAAGATGTCTAATGCCACTCAGGTAAGGGGTGGGGGGCAAGCTTCATTTGATCTGAAGGCAGTCTTTTTGACTTCTCCCTTTAAGGAGAAGACCTCTCCTCCAAAGAATGGAAAATTCCAAGGCAGTTTTCTTCACAATAGCCATTAATTAGGTTATAACTATTAGCAATGGCCTCTGGCAGATACAATCGAGGGACTGTAGAGTAAAAGAAGGCATAGTTTGAGTCCAGATTCCTTGCCATAGGTACCAAAGGAGAGAGAGAGTCTTCCTCTCACATAGGGAACAGACTGGAAAGGGTGCATGAGAAGAAAAGCCATGGGTCTGAAGCCTGAATGTGGAAATGGCTGAGGTGTGGTGGCTGTGGGATCAAATGGGCAGCGAGTGGTTAAGGTGGACTCTCCACAGATCTGTTGAAGTAAGGAGGTTTACCATGGTGTCCAGACTTCTCTCCGATCCCTCTGAAATATGAGCTCTTTGCAACTGCTGAGCTTGCCTGGCCCCTAACCTTATTAGGCAACTGCCGAGGCACAATCTGCCCACAGCCTTTCAGCCAGGCAGGGAGGCGCACTACCTCTGTCAGGTCAGTTAATCATTTGGTGAAAGGTATTCTGGGTAAGGTATGTTCTCACTCCTGTGTCTGGCTTTTTGCCAGCCTAGGGGTTGAGAGGATACAGGGGTGAACTCTCCCATCCCTCCTCCTGTGGCAAAAAAATTATGTGACATTGTATCCTTTTAATTATTTTCCTCTTAAAGTGCTGTAACATGTTCTATAATTTGTAGATAACACGTAAAATAGGCATTCTTGACAGGACCCTGCTGAGAGCTGACTGCTGACTTCTGACCCCCAATACAGGGAGGCCCAAGAGAGAAAAGTGATGGGTCTTTGGCAAGTCAAGGCCTTGACTGCCTGGTGATCTTTCTTTTTCTTCTTCTCATTCCTATGTCTCTTCTTTCCCTCCCTCCCTCCCTCCCTCCCTCCCTTCCTTCCTTCTTTCCTTCCTTATTTCTTTTCCTTCCTTCCTTCTTTTCCTTCCTTCCTCCCTCCCTCCCTCCTTTCTTTTTGTGCTACTACTAGGGCTTGAATTCAAGACCTTTCTCTCTTGAGCCACAGCTCTACTTCTGGCTTTTTTTCTGGTTAATTAGCAATAAGAATCTCCCTGGGCTGGGAAGGTGGCTCAGTGGTAAGAGTGCTTGCTTTGCATTCATGAGGTCCTGGGTTCAATTCCTAAGCACCACATAAACAGAAAAAGCTGAAGCGGCACTGTGGCTCAAGTGGTAAGAGTGCTAGCCTTGAGCTGAAGAGCTGAGAGACAGTACCTAGGCCCAGAGTTCAGGCTCCAGGACTGACAAAAAAAAGTCTCCCTGATTTTTCTGCCCCAGCTGACTTTGAACAGGGATCCTCGGATCTCAGCCTCCTGAGTAGCTAAGGTTATAGGCGTGAGCCACCAGTGCCCTCCTTGCGGCACACTTTACTTCCTCCTTTTCTGAGAAACATCTGAGAAGCTCCCTGCTTTTGTCCTTTGGTAGAGGGGTGACCTTGAATTCCTAGGCTCAAGTGATTCACCTGTGTCAGCCTTCTGAGTCGCTGGGACTGCAAGCATTCACCTACCACCACACCCAGCTTATGAGATCCCTTAAAAGAGGCCTTTCCAGGGTACAAAAATACATGCTTCCAATCGGGGATGTCTCACCCTTTCTCTTTTACATTTCAGAGTTAATGACATCCCAGGTAACACAGTAAACAGTCCTCTGCACTGCTGAAAAGCACAGGTCCCTATGCTTCCTGATAAGCCAATCTGCAGCAAGGCTCATTAGCAAGTCCCCAAAATAAGGAGCTTCCAGTGACAAAGCCCTCATGCCCTAAAGCCACCCAACTGCCAACAGCAGCCAGACACTAATTTCCTCCAATTCTGTCCAAGGAATCCCTTTCTCTTGGAAGTCTTCCCGGAGTGCTGGAGAAAAGGGTAACTCCCTGTGGAGATTACACAGAAGGGCATCTTTGGAGATGTGGAAGAACTCCCTTCCCCCACCCCCCAAATCTTCCAGGCCAAAGGCTCTTCTTGAATCTGGTGAGGCCCAGGAAGCACAGGTGGAAATGGGGAAAGGAAGCAGGGAGTGGTAGTGGTGGTGGTGGTGTATAGGCCTTGGAGCTGGTACAGCACTATAGGACATGCCTGAAATAAACAGCAACTGCCCTCACCCTGTCCTGCTCTCTCCCTGCTTGGGAGCAAGATGGTAGGTAGCATTTGTGGACATCCGGGCATCATTTCTAGGAAGGAAGTGAAAGATGAAGGGAAACCCTTGGAGGAGGGAGGTGGGCTGGTCCCACCTGTGTTCATATCCCCCATGAAGCTGAAAGCCTCCTCCGGGCCCCCAGCAATAACGCTGATCTTCTCTCTGACCCAGACTTGCCCTCATCCCATATGAGGCTCTGCTTCTCTTCAGGGCAAGGAGAAGTGGGAAGGAAGGGAAGTTATATTTCTGGAACATGTCTAACGTGCCTGGTGCCATACTAGATACTTTATGTGAAAATTATAGCACAATTAAATGCAGGTAATATCACTGCAAAAAGTGCCCACACAGTGGCTGACATACAGCAGCTGATCTGTGAACAGTAGCTATGATCATTACTACATATAGGAAGGGCCAGCATGCTGGATGTAGGTAGCTCACACCTGTAATCCCAGCTCCTTGGAGGTATATAGGAGACTTGTAGTTCAAGGCTAGCCTGATCAAAGTAATCTAAACCTTTTTTTTTTTTTTTTTTAAGTTGAGGGTTTAGGTTAAATGACAGAGTGTTAGGCCCTAGGTTCTACCCACCACC